AATACCTACATAATACGATTAAAAATTTGTTCTCAATTTTCGCTTTTTCATGCTCGAAGAATATTATTAAAATTGCATTAAAAATAAAATATTACCGACTTAATTAAAGAATAAATTTAATTAATTAACCTTTCAGCGAAAAGTAGAAAATCAAAATCTCTAAACTGTGAAATCTATTTTATACTTGAAAATAACCAATCTATTTAAATATTGAATACAGACCATCTGTATTTACGTACTTATATAACTAATAACCACATTGGATACTTAAAAGTTAGGTATGTTTCCGATGGGAAATCCTGCATAATATAATTTATTTTCGAGCGAACTGTAGCAAGTATAGTCATGATTTACGTTCACAAAAACCGTTCATAAAAAATAACAAATTTTTTGCTTACACAAAATATTTATTTGAATATTATTCAATTATTATTTTTTAAATAAATCTAACTACACTTACCGATATTTTCAATGAACAAGATTCGTATATCATCTTAAATATTAAAATTATTTACCAATCGTTTTTGGGTAGGATGATTTTGTGGGGGGTTAGCMTGCCAACCAACGATTTACGCCAATTGTTATGTTTCTTTGTCAAAATCATATATCAAATGTTCCATAAGTTGATTATAATTCGCCAAACGGATCGAGTAACGCTTAGCGCCTGCCTATAGATACTGTGCGTTTATAAGCAGTTAGCAAGTCCTACCTAGGATATTTATTTATGATAAATCTTAACTTAAATTATGTATTTTAGTTTTTATACTTTATGCCTGTATAATAATGTAGTATAAATATTCACTATAGGTACATGTATTAGTGTATTACTATCAACAACATTTTTTATATAATGTTGGCAATCTATGTACCTATTTATTAACTAATGATTATTTATTATTTTTATTATTATTTTGTTGTTGTACCTAATACTTGTCATATTTTATTTACGCGCGATTGTACTGCATGCATGTATATATTTTACGAATCAAAATCGAAATGCCTTACAATTTTATAATTATGTGTTATATCATGTTTCGTATTAAACAATGAAATGTGTTTTTATTTTATATAATTAAAAAAATATATATAATAAACCGATTATGGATGATCGTATGTGTGCCTTTATATACTACCAATTACCATACCAAACTTATCAATTTGTGTCAAATTACCGAAACACAATCATTCGAATTGTACATAACCTATTAGACTATTACCTGCTAAACATATAATTCATGGATCGGATGTATTATGTATTACAGGTAGCCAGGTAGGTGGCACTGTACTGGTCCGTTGACCGTTGACAGAACGAGGATTAACTATGTATAATATGGCTATGACTGCTACGAGGACATTGTGCTCTGGCATGGCGTGAGGTCACATGCTAATCATGTAATTGTATCTGTAGTACTGAATGGATGAGGTACGAATTGCTCTTATTTCCTCTGTATAAAGAATATGTTATTATAATGTGTTGTTTTTGCTCATGTTGTGTTTCCGGTTCACGGTGGTTAAATTATTTATTAAAACCCTGTACAATATATATTAATATATTATTATAAATGATAATATACAGAACAAAATGCAGAGAAAATCTTCTCTACATCCTACATCGTGATAAAAAATTAATTATTTATTTATATTAATAATACTTTTAGACTGTAGGCTATCAAAATCGAAATTAAAAATACCATAATATCKACGAAACAGTTTCTAAAAAACTGGTCCCAAAACTWAAATACACGGTTAAACGATTACGTCCTCTATATATAGCTGATGGTCAGTAGCACAAATAAGGGGGGCTTTGGAGGGCTTAGACCCCCACAAAAAAAAATAAAAAAAAATATATACTTAAAGCCCCCTCAAAAATTATATTATGTGTAATGTGTATTAATCTTAATAACATTTATTTTACCCAGTAATTAGACATTTTTTCCTTACACAAATAAGACAATATTTTTTTTATCAACTAAAATAATATTACAATAAACAATATTACTAATAGATTATTATAGTCGTTTTTTTTTTTTTTTAAATAAATAGGTTCGTTTATAAAAATATAAATTTGTATTACTATAATATTAATACTTATGTTATATATAATATGTTCTATGTATATTGTATGATACTTAACTACATAAGTCAGAATTGAAGAAATACAGGTATCCTTAAAAATATGTAGGTACTAATAATGTACATTGTACTAACATATTATAATTTTAAAAAAAATTTCTTGGGGCTTGAGCCCCCTAAATATTTTTACCATTTGTGCCACTGCTGATGGTAAATCAGATAAATAAAATGTACTAAAAAAAAATAGTTTTGATCACTACACTACTTATATAATAAATTAATAACTATATTATAATGATTATTATACAGTTAAATGATTTTGATTAAAATCTTTAACTAAGGTCTAAGGTAGTTCATAGTAGGTACCTGATACCTAACTTAGTTTACGATTAGAATTTAAATGTTGATATTTTTTTATTTTTTATTATAAAAATATTGAGAACTGAGACAAAATCAAAAATTAATTACACTTCGTAATTATATTCTCATGAGAAMATTATGCATAATCACCATGGAATCACAATACAAAGTTTTTAAACTAAAATATCTAAATCCCTAACTTACATGTCAATTTTTTTTTTCTAATGTAGATTCATATATACATTTTGATAATATAATATTTACCTATCTATATTAAGTGTTTTTGTAGAGTTATTTTATGTATTGAGTATTTGAGTTAGATATAACTGTTTAAAAATACCGACATACTATGTGAACAAAATCTGCCCATGCTTATATAGATGTACATTGGGTATCCGGACAATTTCCCCCCGGACATTTCCCCCCTGATTGTTTTTGGCATAGTAGGACATTT